ATCTTAGCTATCACAAATTCATTTCGAGAATTTCTGTCCAACCAACTGCACTGGCCTACGTAAAGACGTAGCCTTTGATGGACTTAGCGTCCTTTGATATCCGTGCTATACTTTCCAAGTACGGCTAGATATCCCACGTTGTGCAGTCCAAAGTCACGAGCATACATAAGTATCTCATAACTTCCACTATTGCTTTCTAGTGCGCAACACTAGGGTTACTCGTATGTCTACCGAGTTCGTTAACCGCTAAGGCAATATCCAGCCTAGTACAATCCATTAGATACAATTAAAACTTTCAATAATCTGAATGTATTCTCCATGAGAAGTACAGTCTTCGTGATTAATGGCTAGTTATACGTTAGTATCTAACGGTGTTCAAGCCACTTGATTATCATTCCTTTACAAGGATTCAATCAACTCGGTGAGATTGGTTAACACGAGACCATACGGTCTTCCCACGATTTCAATCTCGAAGATTAAATCTGCCAAACTCACTCGTCTCATGTCAAATCTCAAATTTAACATGACCCTAGTAGAATTGATCATGTGATCGTTACTACCCACGTTGAGTTTATCGTGTATAGACAAATAGTGATAACCTCGTCTATCGTATGCATTACGTAGACATTTGTCACCTTTGTTTATACTAAACTCGTTACTCATCATTGTATGATCAAAACTTACACGCCAAATACTAAGGCAATTGTTTTGAACCATACAACGATCTCACCAATTACACACTTTCTTTTCACAGTATGGAACCACAAACCCTCAGGTCGTTCCAGGTATACTAAGAAAGCGATAGATCCATTTTGATGAACTTCCAAGTCTCGCCAAACGGCTATTGGCAAGTATCATCCTAATGGATTTCATTCTCATCACAAGAGAATATTTATATCGAAGTAACCGTGGCACTCGCGTTGCACGTAATCTACAATTATAAGCCCGGCCATTTTACTTCAATATAACCAACCGGTTTTATCTTCCGACTAGTGATCTGTTAGGATCCAAAGGTTTTACAGCCCGGAGGAAGAACAATCAGTTCCAAGTGTGATTCTTTAAGATAGAATCTACTTCACTCCCGATAGCCTCTCTCGGGTTGGTCCACCTGTAGAAGTCAACACTTCTACATACGTTCGAGGCTCGTTTTCTAACAACCATGTCAGAAAATCCAATTTATTTTCTAGTAAACAAGTTAGATTGTGCGCATCACACTCTAACATGTACGTTAGAAAATCTGGACCAAAGGATTTTTCAATCCTAGCTCTCTTGCTACGTCCAGCTTTGAGCTCGGGTTCTTTTTCACACCCTTCAACCATAGCTACGCCGAAAGTTCCTTTCAACGTGCTAGGTCCTTTATTGATCCTTCACAAAAATACATCTTCCAAGAACGGTGAATTTCTTGAATCAATCTTTCGTGTTCTTATGTACATCCAAACTCTTGGACTCGTGTACTAAGAACCAATACACACCTTTGTCAAGACACCCCCACATTAGTAGGAGAACTTCCTACGTACCAACAATTCGTAAGAATTCCATGTGGGTAACCTTAATTAAAAGGTACTTACTTGTCCAAAGTATTGTCTCACCCTACATACTTTGAGGTAGACCGGAACTTATCAACGTCTTGATATTTATGTTCGGCGACAACGTTTGATCGAGGTGAATACCGTGTCGTACGCTCGAGTACGATACCAATGCTTGCGCCGAAATCACCAATAGGTGTTTCACGTTCACCACATCGATCGTACATAACCGCATTAATCCACAATTAATTTGGTTATCCTTTTATTCTTATAAAGAATAGACATGTGCTACACGTTAGCACATCTCGTAGGTGCGAACAGATCAGCACTTACGAATCCATTTGGTTTTGACCGAAAGGCCACAAACCCGAATCAGTGCTTCCGAAATTGAAGCACGAATTAGTGCTTAGTAATGAGACACGAATCATGCTATACCAAGCACGAATCATTGCTACCAAACTAACACACCGATTCCAAAGCAATCTTTGTTGCTTTAAATTATAAACTTGCAGCAACATTCGGTTGCTTAATTTATAATTACAGTGCTACTTAGCACTAGGATCATTAGTTAATCACATAATTAACCAAACCTCCTTTCGTGATAATCACATAGCACTTTTACAACGTTAAATTTAATTTAGCCACATACGAAAGGTTTAAGCTACGTAAATTAGCATTAAGACCAATCATAATCTAGCACCTTTATTGCTATTACCAAAGCACCAACTGCTTATGTTTTCAACACCTAAAGGTGCAGCCACCAAGTGGCCGAAAGTGCCTAATTAAGCACTCTACCTAGTGCTTAATAGCACTGTTACATTGTTGTAATTTGCACTTCAAAGTGCCAAATTACACTTTCCATTAGTGCTACAAAAGCATTATTCACCAAAACACAATTTGTCTCAAATTAAATATACTAGTATAATTTGGAATTTTTGATCAAGTTAATTATAACACAATAAACGAGAACGAATCAACCTAATCTTCCGACTAGTTGAATCACGCTTATATAATCGTTCTCAGAATATTAATAAAATATTCAACAATTGAGCTGTGACGCTCACGATTATATAGCTATCCCAATTTTTGACAAATTGATCCTTGAAATCCTTATGGTTCTACATGAACTTGAACCGAAGTTCGTTACGGGATTTCAACATGTAACACGCTTGTTACATTTCATTCCGGCCGTTACGCCATTTTATCATTTTCCACATAATGCTCCATGATGCATTACGCACCCATATTGAATCTTTTATATATTAAAAATATCACACAAGAATATTTTAAAATATACAAAGTTCAATACCCACAAATGGAACAATTCATTTTATTCAACAATAAAATGTATCACAAGGATACTACAACATTTATTAAAATAAATAAATAGGAAAAACTACATTGGAAATAAATTCCTTATTCCTATCTCGTAGTAGTCCTTCAACCTGTGTGCCTTTTTCCATTTTCCAACCGTCCACTCCACGAAGGGTGGTCCATAGCGCACATCGGGGGTACCTCGGTTATGACCTCACTCGTCCAACCATCCACATGTTTTGAACATAGCGAAATTGTCCTCAACCTTTTCACCGGGATGACGATTCGCTTCATAGTGGCATTTCTCCTTCTTCTCGTAATCTTCTTGAAAGCTAAGCTTCCGCTTGAGTTTCTTTCGATTACGGTTGAAGTCATTTGTAACACTATCATAGTCCTCAGACCATGTAGTCATTACACCATCATAGGATCCTTCGTGGCTTTTAGTCGATCCGTTAGGCAACACAATAGGTACCAATTGTGTGTCATTAACCACAGGTCTACCGGATCGTGAACCAAAGTTCTCCGGAGCACCATCGTGTGTTTTTGCAACTCCCATGGAAACAACATTTCCAATGTTGCTGCCATCAACCGGCATCACGGAATGTGCAACATCGTTGCCGTTCCGACCATTTGAATGTGCACCACGAGCAACACTCACAGATCCAACACTTTTGGAATCCAACGATTTGTTCATTATCAAAAGAAATAAGGTTTTAAGATTGTTGGTGATAATGAACCACAATCAATTTAATATCCGAAAAATAATATTTATATATACACAAACAAGTATATAAAATATTATTGGATATTTACCCGAAATATATATATACACACAAATATATATAAACGGATCCAAAGGTTATATATACATGTGTATCTACGAAAAAGATATACCAATATATATTAACCAAAATTGAAACTAATAATCCTCGGATTATAAGTCCAATCCAACTAATATGTCAAAAGATGGAGAACAGATTTTTGCTTAAAAGCATAATCCAAAACAAGAAAGAAGGAGAAGAAGAAAGAAAAGTACGAGTTAGGCAAAGTGCCTTTCTTTCCTTAAAACCTTATTTGCCACCTCCCAAAAGTGCTAGGAGCATTGTGGCCTAGGTTTCCCAGGATAAAACGTACAACGGTTCGACGTTTGAGCACCCAAATGAACGAACCCGGCGAACAAGAGCACGGGACGAACACAGTTACAAGAAGGGAGTAGGAGCAGAGATTTTGGAGCTGGGAAAACAGAATTTCAGTGATGTGTGTGTTGTTTTTCAGTCTGTTTTGAAATACTGCTGCTACACCCCTTCTTATATAGGAGGTGAGGAATCAATAGCATTTAGTTTAGCATTTAATCCACGATTTGTAACACCTGAAACAGCCACCATTATTGAGATTTAACTCAAAAATTCAAAAGGTGGAATTAATACAAGATTAATTCTATAACAAACGAATGATCCGCGAAAGTTCATGCTTTAGTGCACACGAGGCTGAACGAGACTGAACTTTCGTGTGTGCGCAGATCACTTGATCTCGGGTGATACAGAAATTGGCATACGAGCTCAGACTTGAATCAAGTATGTTCGATCTCATTTCTAGTTAGAATTTGATTTGCACCCCCCTCCCCCAGCGCGAGAGAGCCTCTATGCTATACAATTCTACAAGCTCCAAAAGAGCTCTTGTATAAAAGGGGGGTGAAATCCTCTTTCCAAATCAATGTGGGACAAAGCTCACTTTTCCCTTACATTTTTCCAACTCAATGGGTCTACTTTGAGAATCAATATCTCATTCACCCATTATCCGTTTTGAGCGTACAATATATCAATCTCTTCGTCTCACTACGAAGAACCCGAATCCACCTTGACCCGATCCAAATCGGAGGTGGACCCCACTGATAATTGTACCACAAAATAGCCACTTAACATGTCATTTTATGCCATTTTAATGCTATTTTTCCAACAAATTTCTCGTCATAAAAAGTCTTTTATGATGGTTTATGATTTTTTAGCGACGGTTTTACTTCTCACAAATGAACAGTTTTCTGGTAGGGAATGATGCCAGGTATTTATATGTTGAAAGCTAAGGCAGGAATGGGCAAAAACAGCTAGAAATTAAGAAGATTATTCAAAGTAAACAGTACAAGCTTTCAAACCTCAGCTCGCATATATTATATATACAAACATGCATTGGACTAGACAGCTATCCTAGCCACAAGCGGCTAGTTGCCTCATTTTAGCTCCAATTTTATTCAAAACACACTCAATAAGCATAGAAAGGTCTTCATGAAGCTACAGAAGACTTAGTTTTATTCAAACACACATATTGCATGCATGCACGAAACTGTTTCTGTTTAAAACATCGATTCTCATTCATCATCATCCGTCTCATGATCGTTAAGGATATAATTCCCGTCCTCCTGCTGAACCATTCCTTTATCCTTTACGTTAAACCATCCTGCCGGTATACCATGTTCTTTCACATAATCGTCTGTCAAAGCATCCTGATACTTATTAACTTTGGCAACATCAAAGTCTCCCGTAGGCGTCGTCTCGTATAAATCAACTCCATGCATATAAAGCATCAAGTCGTGATAGTTGAGGCCCGTAGGCTTCAAATACACGGATTTCTTAGATTCAATCACCAAGCCCACCCCCACATCTTCATAATCTATTTTTGAATCTATGGTCTCACCAACTTTCCATCCAATCGGCGGAAGTGTTGGAACTTTATCCTTGACGTCGGAGATTCGCAAGGCTCGAAGGTTTTGTTGATTAGAGAAGGCTTTCTTAAAATTCTCATCCCCTACTTTGGGGCTTGCATACAAGAAAGCAGTCACTGGAACATCTTTATTATTATTATTGTTGACTGGATTGGCAGCCAGGTCTACTGCGTTTAGTGTTGCCATGGATGAACCCAAGCTGTGTCCTGTCACGGTTATGCTAATTTCCTCGTCCTTGTATAACTCAACAAGTCTTGCAACTTCTTCACGAACCTATTATATTATATATATAACAAAGTCAAGTCAAATTCTACAATATATACAAATTTTTTTTAAATATCACTGCTGAAAATTATGGAATTTCCGATCACCTTTAAATCAAAGTTGAAAGTAAAAAGATGTCGGAAATAACAACAAAGATTTGTCCGAATACCAAAATGGTTGGAACAACCCATATGCACTAGAGGATCAGAGTGGTCGGAAATTCCATAATTTCCAGCAGTGTATAATTATACATACATACCTGATCTCTGGCACTCTTTTGATTGAATGGGGAATCTTGATTGGTGGTGGTATACATAGAGTACCAACCCATATGCACCAGAGGATCAGAGTTTTGGCCAAATATTAATGGGGCATTATCAAAAAGGAATATGGCATCATCAATCCACTCTAAGAGTCGGATTGTTCCCCTCCAAACAACCACAATGTCTCTTCGTCCTAACCCAACTTTTCCTTCATCCGTGGCCACAGCAACATATCCAATCCAGTTTGTTTGCTTATAAGTATAGTCTATAGGTCCCAACTCGAGTGTTAATAGAGCCGGTGCATAAAAGTATTTGGTCACTTCATATCTGAAACATACAGTAAAGCATGCATATATATAACTACAGGGTGATATGAATGATACAAGGAATTGAAGAAAGAAATTAAAGAGAGAATTGAGGAATTATATACTTGAAAGGGTTTCCCTTGACAAGTCCTGTATTTTGAAAGAGGTTTCTCCTGGCATATCGTGGTAATCCCACATTTTTGGAAGCTCCTTCATTGATGAAAGCATCGGCTACGACTTCAACCATGGCTCCGTAGTGAATGAGGTAGCGGCGGAGATCCGAATCCAAAGGCTCCAGAAGCCCTTCCCAGTTATCACTCCCACTTAGAACCTTCCATCTTTCAGCAATGCCTGTGTCACTCATCTTCCTTCAATTCTCTACTCTTTTTTTTATTTTTCTATGGATTTCTGTGCTGATCTCAAGTACTGGTGGTGAACTGAAACTCCCCACATACTCCCCTTTTTATACATCTCTCAGCCATGCCATTCATCTCATCCGTCGACCAAAACACATATATAATTGGAAAACGTGAGATTCCAAAGAATAAAAAAAACACATATATAACAGCCTGCCAAATTATTTTGTGGATCACCGACGTCATTTTATTGTTAAAAAAAAAAAAATTCATTACTTTTATGATTCCCAATAATTAAACAATTATTTTTCATTATTATTATACACTAGTTACAAATTATTGTTAATTACATTTAACTTTCCAAATTATTATTAAGTAACTTGTATGCATTATAAATGATTAAGGAATTAATGAGGTTAATTAATAGCAATTATACATATATACTACCTTATGCTTAAATGACATCTCTGTGGCTCCCCTTGAGGGAAGGTCATATAATCGAATTCTGATGGTGAGGTTGAAGATATACTCCATTGTAATAGAGTCAATATATATATATATATATACTACATTTTTCCCTTATTGCTACAATACTATACACATACCATAATTTTTTTTTTACCTTTTTACTATTTTTTTTCCTAAAAAAAGCTAACACTCTTAATCAAACCCTCCATGAATTCTCTTTACCTATTTATGCACACTTTTTAAAAGTGTACTATTTTTGTATCCCATAAAAAAAATCCACCCAACCGTGTTAATGATTCTGGTTCGCACGTATTATAATAATAAACATTCTGTGGTAAGATAATGTATTTAATGAAGAATGTATTCGGTGAGCTAAAATTTATACTTTAGATTCATAATTTCTAAATGTAGAATCAATAATTTAAATACAGTAGATCCATAATTTCTATACTGCACTGATTTGTGAAGACATGGTTCAACAATTTGAATCTAAAGTATAAATTTTAGTTCATCGAGATTCTAGAAATTATAGATATACAGTGTAGAAATTATGGATGTAGATTTGTGCACACCATGTGCATGGTGGGCACGTGATCACAACATAATTTGCCCTTACACTGAGCAATTAGGTCCTTCAACTTTAAAAAAGTGCACTTAGGCCCTTCCACTTGTTATTTTGATACGTTTAAGCCCAATAACAGGTTATTCACCTATAATAACCGATCAAAAAGATTCCAACGACATTTTTGGCGAAAAAAATCCGGCGACACCAAAAAAAAAAAAAAAAAAAAAAAAATTACCTACCAGAGAAGACGACCGAACGGTCGTCTTCTCCAAGTGAAGGAGGCAGCATCCGCTTCCATACTCCTTCCGATTTGGAAGGACACGGATGCTGCCTCCTTCCAGTCTAGAAGGAGGTATCATCAAAATCTAATTACACTTGTTCCTAACATAATTGAACCTTTGTAATGTTTGAGGGCCTAATTGCTTTTTCATCAATAGTTAAATGGTTTATTTAATAATAATAATAATAATAATAATAATAATAATAATAATAATAATAATAATAATAATTAGGGGTGACCTGCTAGAAACTTGAAAAACATACAAATTAGACTAATTGCATGAAATTGGTTAATTTAGGGATTCAATTGTAACTTTTTAGGTTCAGTGGTCCAATTGCATTATTGTGTGCTGTTGGATGGCCGGTTTGTGGCAAATTATTGTTTGGACCATAACAAAAGTATATTTTAAATATACTAAATATACATTATTTAACAGTATACAAAATATGGTCAATGGTCCACACAATAATGATTGTTTATTTGACCCTTATTCCTGATAAGAATAATAATATAGTATTGTTTGGGAAGAATAATAATATAGTATTTTCTATGGGCATAGAGAATTATGGATAAGTTTGTGCTCTTAATTTTTTAATGCCCTCGCGCTGCTGGCTGCGAATTTTGCCGATTTTGCGAATACGTAGCGGTGGGCGGGCAGTGGATGATAATATACATTTATGATTTGCATTAGTACGCGCCAATTGCCTAAAACCTTAATTTATTAATAATGATAATATGCATCAATAATTTTGAATTTTAAAATTAAAACGTGTCACCTGTTATTATGTTCTAATGATAAATTGATAATATGCATCAACATTACACTTATTATTTTACATTATGTGTATTGTCAACACTCTCCACAAAACATGTGCATTTCAAGTCTGTTACGTACTGAAATTTAGTACGCAACAGAAAAAAGCTTTCGAGCAGGCTTCTGGCTCCAATTGGTATTCAAGTTACGGTAACTCCAAAAGAAAATAGTATAGCGAAAGAAAATGAAGAACTCTTCAATATAAATGATTTCTGCATACTTTTAACATTACATAGAATACCCTATATATACTATCTCACTCCCTAAAATAATGTAATTATAATAATGGAATGACTAATTATTCTCCTAATTACCAATTACACATAAATGCTAATTATTTTCCTAATTACACATATAAGGTAATATACATTATTCTTGCTACAGGATCAATGCCCATCAATGGCGTATCACTCCTTGCCCCTTCGAAAATCACCTTGTCCTCAAGGTGGAAGTATAAATGGTTCGTCTCTTTGAGTTCTACCCAACACAAATATTCAACCCAAATTTTTGGTTGAAAAATGTTAGGAAGATTGTACATCAGGTACAAGGCTCGACCGAACAAATACCATTGCACAAATGAGAATTCCTCATTGTGTAACCCGGTAACAAAATTCATTTTCTTTTACAGTGTGTTCTCTTGGATATAAACTGGATTTTTCATGAGGTAGATTTCTTTTGTAGGAGAAACTAGTGATACATAAATCTTTTCTGGTGCACTTTCATCCTCCTTATTAGAACTCAAACTTGTACAAATCTTCATAATCGTCATTGGTTCTTCAACTGTCAATGGGATATTAGGTGGGGTTGGGGGCGGCTTGTCTAATATGTGTAAATTTTTCTCCTTGAGATCATGAACACTTTTATTATCAACCACATGCATTGACACTTCAAATTGTAGTTGATCTTTTGGCATTGTTTCCTTGAGGATATCTACATGCTTTCTCGGAGCATCTAGTTGACTTTGATCTTTTTCCAATTTATGAAGACTGTTGTGAGACGAATAATTGCTAGTTACATGGTTAATCTCCTTAATTGATACAATCAAACTTTTCAATGTTTGATTAATGGTTTGAAGTTGGAGATTCAGATTATTGGTGTAAATAGTTTGATGATGGGTGAAAACGTAACTGAGCGATTTGTTACTAACCGATTTGTCATGACGGTATGTAAGAATTGTGATGAAAGAAAAAAAAAATAAAGGTAATGACAAAGAAAAAGAATAAGAATGAGGAAAATTTTTGTGGTTTTTTTTTTTTTTCTGATTTATTTGAGATTTTTTTTTTATTGATATTCGAATAGAAAAAGAAAGGATTAAACAATGGAAGAAAAGTAAATTCTAGTTACTCTTTAGTCTTTTCTGCTTGGTTTTTTTTTTTTTTTTTTTCTTTCATTTTTTAAGGGATGCTGCCAAAAATGAAATAAAAACAACAAAATAAAAAATAAAAAAGATAGGGGATACTCTCACCAATGAAATCAATAAAAACACCAATGTTACGTACTGCATTCACAAATCCTCTTAATGAGAGCACCAATGTTACGTACTGAAATTTAGTACGCAACGGAAAAAACCTTTCGAGCAGGCTTCTGGCTCCAATCCGTATTCGAGTTACGGTAGCTCCAAAAGAAAACAGTATAGCGAAAGAAAATGAAGAACTTTTCAATATAAATGATTTCTGCGTACCTTTAACATTATATAGAATACCCTATATATACTATCTCACTTCCTAAAATAATGTAATTATAATAATAGAATGACTAATTATTTTCTTAATTACCAATTACGCATAAATACTAATTATTTTTGTAATTACATATATAAGATAATATACATTATTCTTACTATAGGATCAATGCCCATCAATGACGTATCAAATTCTCTGATTATTTTTGTTCCCAATGGGGCTTTATATGATTACTATGTCTAAATCAGGCCGTCGATGATATTTGCTAAAAGACGAGTATGGTACTAACTAATGGCTAATGGTTAATAATTAGTAAGGGATCAGGCCAGCAAGGCAGCAAATCATATCTTCTCCAAAATATTACGTGAATAATTGCGTCCGCATAAAAAAAAAAAAAGTAAATTATTTCAAATATTTCGTTGTCTTATGAGTCATGAGTATGATATACTTCATCCGTCCTATTTTATTTGTCCAATTCAGTTAATAAAGTTTGATTGAAGTCATTTTTAATTAAATTTTTTATAATATTAAATTTAGTATTAGTATATAAAATTTATATATTTAGAAACTACTTTAAAAATACTCAACACAAAAAAAAAAAAAATCAAATTTTAAAATAATTAAAAATTACTAAAGAAAATAAGGAATGAAAAAAGAGTTAGTTTGATCGATGAATAGTATGCACGACAGATATAGTCTTCACCTTTTGGTCGTATGTATGTACAACAAATTTTCCTAACTTTTTTTTTTAATACAAAGAAAAAGGGATATCCACATATACAATCTACACCTACACCGAAGCTCGAACCCTAGACCTCCCACATAGCTAAAGCCATAATTCGTCGCTTTATTAGTCTCTCTCTCTCTCTCTCTCTCTCTCTCTCTCTCTCTCTCTCTATATATATATATATATATATATATATATATATATATATATATATATATATATATATATATATATATATATATATACACACACACACACTAGTTTTTCTACGCGCTTTGCGCGAATAGGATAATGCCCAATACTTATTTGTAAACAAGTATTTCAAAGTATATCAATGCAATATTATATAGAAGATGTTCATAAAATAAAAATAAAAAAAAAAATGTTCATGCATAGGTAAATAAATGTTGAATTTGTTTATTTAAATTGGTAATTTAAAGTATATAAATGCAAGATAATATATGAGAGATTGATTATATATAACTGTCAAAAAAATAAATGTTTGCAACTTTGTAATAACGCTAATCTAAGTACTAAGTCTAAAAGCGATAGTCTAAATAAATACTATTTTTGGTTTAAATTTTTCTAATTCTCTTTTGTGTAGTATTTTTATTGTTTTCATCTTCAGTACATGTCCTTTTTTTTTTTTTTTTTTTTTTTTTGTTATTGGTAGTGTGTCATGTGCAATTGGGTTATTAGTGGTATCACAGAGGAATTCATCATGCAATGAGATTATGGTGTATGAAGTTTTAGATTTGTCTTGTTGTGTATATGACTAAGATCTTAGTTGTGCTATGAACTCTTTATCTTACAAGCACATGTTGATATTTGGTAGTGGTAGTTTTCCCCTACATGTTTCATGTGTTGTGAGACATCTAATTCTAAATTAATTAAATGCATATGTATTATTTTTTGTTGTAGCTACTAATTTAAGTAATAAGAGTAATAAAGTGGGAAAATTATGTTGTGGAACCGTGTCTACCTTGCAAGGTGGACACGGTTCCAAAATTGTTCATAATTATGAATATATAGTTCAAAAATTATGAACATATAGTTCTATAATTATGAACATATAGTTCTGTAATTATGAATATAGAGATTCAATAATTGTGAATATGAAGTTAAAAAGTTATGAATATATAGCTTTATAATTATGAACATATAGTTCAGTAATTATGAACATAGAAGTGTGTCCACATTGCAAAGTGGACTCAGTTCCATAGCATAACGATTGAATAAAGTGGCGTATATACTTTTCATCCACACAATGAAATCATTGATTTTTTTTTTTAATTTCCATTCGTTGTTGAGACAAATTATTTTGAGAGTTTGTCAATGACATTGCTGTCAATAGATGATGATAATAAATAATTCAAAATATATGGTTACAATAGTTATTATTATAATAATATAGTAAAAATTAACTTACAAATTTCTTTAGAAGTTTTCATGCATTGATAAAAGCATAATTGAAATATTAGGGGCCGTTACTAACTGGAAATTTCCGGAAACTGGAAAATAGAAAACAAAAAACATGTTTACTAACACAGTTTTCCATTTTGAAAACTGAAAATAATTTTTGGAAATTTCTGAAAAACTGGAACACACTTAAAAACTTTTTTCGAAAAAATGAAAAACAGAATCATCTATCATCTATTTAGTTATATGTCACTATAACCAAGTTACTATGATTACATTCATTATCATCTTATTTTACTTATCACTATTTTCTATCTTTCTACTTACTTTACTTATTTAAACATAATTTATTGGCTTACACTTTAAAGTTAGACATTATTTACATTATCAAAATTAAGAATTAAAACTCTATATAATGTTTTAGATTTTGATTGAACTCAATAGATTATTAGTTCGAATATTTTTAATTATGTTACATCATAATAGAAGTTCGGTCCAGATATCGAATATTGAAATCTCACATATATTAGAATTCAAAGTAAAAGTTATATATCATATACATGTCATTCAAATGAATATATCCAAAAAAAATATTTTAAATATTAGCTAAAAAAAATATTAATATTATCTAAACTAAAATTTAGGTGAAAACTGAAAAATTAGAAAACAGAGAACAGTTAGTAAACAAGTTTTCTAAACAGAAAACAGAGAATGGAAAATAGAGAATGAAAACTGAAAAATTAAAAAACAGAAAACAATTTTCTGTTAGTAAACGGACCCTTAAGTTTTGTTCTCAATAATCAAAAGAAGAATAATTAAACGAAAAAAAAAAAAAAAAACTGAACTTAAATTTATTATTATTTTTAATGAAAGAAAATCAAATGATTTTCAAAGTTCTGATTTATAATCATTGAATGCTATCTATTTAGTCGGGCTAATTATTTTATCAAAGTTTATGTTAAATTTTATATTATATTTCTAATACATTTTAACATATTCGTAGTATATGTTTAACAATTATGCTAACTCTAATTGGAATGAGGTTCGAACCTAAGACCTTTCTTATAGAAATTAATGAGTAAGTTAAGAATAATAAATAGTTAACGGAATATTCCGTTAATAAAGTTTATACTAACGGAATTTTAGGTTATTTAAGGAAAGAAAATAATATAATAAACGGTAAATAAGGAAAATCATTAAAAATACTAAAATCAAAATAATATAAACCATTCATTTTAAGAAACAATTAGTACCGACATTTTTTTATTCCAGTTAAGGGCCTAACATTATTGGCTCTTATTAGAACTATAGATATATATATATATATATATATATATATATATATATATATATATATATATATATATATATATATATATATATATATATATATAGTGAAAGGTTCCCGTGCATTTGTTGTTTCCCGTGCGGATGTGCGGTGGATTAATGTGCGTGAGATTTGTACACAATGTGCGTGAGTGTTGTGTTCTGCGTTATTTTATTTGCGCAGTCTATTTTATATCACCACCACAACGTACCTCTAAAAGGGCTATCAAAGAAACCTTCGTAACTAATAGCTAATGTCTAGATGTACACATGCGGTGCTATAACTTTGAAGATTTTATTATCATTGTTTAGTATTTATCATTGTCTGTCAAATGTTTTTATTAAAAGAAAAACTAAAATAAGAAGTCATTAAGATAAGACTTCTTAAATAAGAGTCTTTTGGCTTCTCAATTATATTTGGAAGAGGAGCATTGCTCAAAGCTCTTCTTTCCAAGCATTTTCGATGTGGGATCAAAATGATCCCACATCATTTACAAAGGGGAGCTCGTGGTTCCGCTTTGTTTTGTTTTTTTGTTTTTTTTTTTTAAATTTTATTTTGTATATAGTTTTGTTTTGGTTATTATTATTATATTATTAATATTAATATTATTATTATTGTAATTTTATTTTATTATTACATTATTACATAATAATAACATTAATAATATAAATTTTCTGCTGTGCAGCCAAAAATTAAAAAGAAAAATGTTTTCTGAAAAACAACTCATTTACCATAAACTATTTTATAATATTAGAATAGGAATTTTAACTTGAGTCACTGTGATTTACATCTTTCCACAATGCTCTGTCGGGTCGAAGTGTGGGGGGGCCCTTAGGGTCGGGGATTCAACCTTTTGGGGGAAGAATAAGAATTTTAACTTAGAATTATACTACGAATAAGAAAATAGAAAACAATATATTTTTATTAGAAAGAGAGATTTTTTAGTAATTGGGCTAGAAGTTAAAGTTCAGGATTTTATTTTTATATATAGTATAGATAGTATAGATATAGGCGAGGAACTTCACTATGTATTTTTTGGTAAAAATACAATTGAGTAGCTCTTTAACCAAACTTGATTACAAAGTCGCTCCACTTTAATTACTTAACTCTATCTCTCTAACAATCCTTTGCAAGACAGATCTTCTAGCATGTCCCTTTGTCCTTCACTACTTCAGTCTTCACTCCAAGGACAAATTATAAAGTCCTCTTGAGTTACTAAGCCCTCCAAACACACGAACAAGGTTGAAAGTTTGTTCAAGGTTAGACAATGTTAGACACTTGTTGCATTTGGATGTGGTTGCGTAAATTCTTTGTTTAAATAATCCATTCGTGATAATTCTTTGTTTACCAAGGGTGAAGGGCCATCATTTGCATGTGGCTTAGCTTTATTGGTCTATGTGGATGATATAGTAGTGGCCAGTGCTAATTTGACCTGGATTATGTAGATTAAGATGCTACTTAATGACAATATTCAAATCAAAGATATAGGACCCTTAAAATATTTTCTAGGTTAATTTGGAGGTGGCCAGACAAAGGAAGGGTATTGCAGTGTCTCAATTAAAGTATGCACTTGATCTGAATTACTAGATGCATGATGCAGGATTTATGGATTCTAAACCAGGTCATAGCCCTACAGTCCCCTCACACAAGTTAAGCAAAAATGAGGGTGAACTATTTAATGACAATGCTCAGTATAGAAGACTAGTTGCAAAACTTTTATATCTAACCATTACAATTTACAAGACCTGATATAAGTTTTGCTACACAACAACTATCTCAGTTTTTGGATAAACCTACTCATATACATTTACAAGCAGCTCACATGGTCCTGAGATACATAAAAAGTGCTCATGGTCCGGGGTTGTTTTTCTGAGCCTCATCTGATTTGCATTTGAAAGCTAAGCATCTAACTAGATTCTGCATTTTCTTAAGACGGACTAAGCCTTGATATCCTGGAAATCCAAGAAGCAAGTTACAGTGTCAAAATCCTCAGCTCCTCAGAAGTAGAATACAAAGCCTTGGCAACTACCACTTGTGAAGTGCAATGCATGGATACTCTATACTTGCTGAATTTGGCCTATGTATATCCTGATGCACCTGCAGCTGTTTATTGTGACACCAAATCTGAAATAGCAATTTCTGAGAATCTTGTCTTCCATGAACGCACAAAACACATTGAAATGGACTGTTACTTAGTAAGAGAAAAGTTGCATAAAGGGGTCATCAAACTCTTCCACATTGCCTCTGAAAATCAGTTAGCAGATGTTCTTACCAAAGCTCATTGTTCAAGTTCTTTCTACAACTGTCTCTCGAGCTAGGATTGCTCATTGCTCAATATCTATACAATCCAGCTTGCGGGGCTTTTAGGAAGCACATATGGTTGACAGCTTGGCATGCTACTCATAACTACCTATAACCGTTTTCTGTTATCATTATATTGTTATGCTTTCCCTCCCTTTTCTTTCCTTCTTTCATATCTGTTACCCCAAAAGGCTGAATCCCCAACCCTAATTAAGGGTCCAATTTCCTTCTTTCATATCTGTATATATACGATAGCATACCTTCTGTTGGTTTCAATAAGAGAAAAGACCTTCTTCAATATATATGGAGCAAAGCAATATATATAATTCAAGTCTTTTATTATATTGCTGAGAAAGATGATTGAGACATGCATAATAATTCAAATACAAGCACACATGCATATATAATGCATTGGACAAGACAGCTAGCCACGTACAAGCTGCTAGCTAGTTGCCTCAGCTCCAATCTTATTCAAAACATACACAAACACACATACACGAATCTGTTTCTGTTTAAAATGTCTCATCCGGCTCATGATCATCAAGAATATAAGTTCCGTCCTCCTGCTGAACCATTCCATTATCCTTTACGCTAAACCATCCCACCGGTATACGATACTCGTCTTTCAAAGCACCCTGGTACTTATTAACTTTGGCAAGATCGAAGTATCCCTGACGCTCAAACCCACCTTGAGACCCCTGGAATCCATCAATTGCATGCATGTAAAGCATCAAGTCGTGAGTTAACAGGTTATCAATTTCAGGCTTCAAATAGTCGGATTTCTTAGACTCAATTGCAATACCCTCCCCCACATCTACGTAAGGTATTAATGGCAGTAGGTTACCACCATCTGGCCATCCAAACGGCGGAACTGCTGTAACAATATCGTTGACGTCGGAGACTCGCAAGGCTCGAAGGTTTTGTAGATTAGAAATGGCATTTTTAAAATTCTCATCCCCTACTTTGGGGCTTGCATACAAGAAAGCAGTGACAAGAATATCTTTATTATTATTGTTGATTGGATTAGCAGCCAGGTCTACTGCGTTTAGTGTTGCCATGGATGAACCCAAGCTGTGTCCTGTCACGGTTATGCTAACTTCCTCGTCCTTGTATAACTCAACAAGTCTTGCAACTTCTTCACGAATCTATATATATAACAAAACAAGTCAAGTCAAATTCTACAATATAATAACCAATCTGGCCAGCACTTTGCCCTTTAATTGGGCCAGCCTGGTGCGAATGGAAATTAGTATGATACCGGCTTAGAAGTGCCTCATACAGTTAGGGTCTGCTCAAAAAGCAGTCGTTATATGATAGACCGCGGTGCATAATCGATTATGCACCGTGCATCAAAACGGCACCGTTTTTTAAGTAAAGAAGCGGCGCGCTATTAGTGTTAACGGAGTGACACTACAGTGTATCTAAACCGACACTGTCTCACGTATTATTTTTATATTATCAAATGAAACTGCAGTTATATCAAAATGATACTGTAGTTGTGGTGAAATGAAACTGCAGTATATATAAAATGAAACTGAATAACATTTCACATATCTGAGTGTATATTGTACAATGAAGCTGTAATTATATCGAAATGATCATGTAGTTGTGTTTTAATGAAACTATAGTGTATATAAAATAAAATTAAATAACATTTTTACACATTTGAGTGTATAAATATTGAATGAAACTGAAGTTAATTATATCCCGAAACTGTAATTGTGTTGAACTGAAACTGCAGTGTATTCAAAATGAAACTGAAAAACAGAGTTATTTTGTGCGGAATGGCGCGAACGGATTCGGTTTCTTTTCATTAAATAAAATGATATATACCTGATCTCTGGCACTCTTGTCATTCAATTGGGAATCTTGATTGATGGTGGTATACATATCGTACCAACCCTTATGCACCAGCGGTTCAGAGTCTTGGCCAAAGAATAATGGCGCCTTAACAAAAACGAATGTTAAATTGGCATTCCACTCAGAGTCTCGCCTTGTTCCCCTCCAAACAATCAGAATGTCTCTCCGTCCCAAAGCAACTTTTCCTTCATCCGTGGCCACAGCAACATATCCGATCCAGTTTGATTCCTTTAGCACTGCATCCACTCGCGCTGGCCTCACGGTATACTCATCATCTGGGACTGTGATTGTTGATGGTGCATAGAAGTATTTGGTCACTTCATATCTGAAACATTAAATAAAGCTCGTGGTCATGGGTGAATAAGAAATTGAGAACAGAAAGAGAGAAAAAGAGAAGGTTTAATTTATACTTGAAAGGGTTTCCCTTCACTAGTCCACAGTTGGCAAGGAGGTTTCTCCTGGCATATCGTGATAATCCCACATTTTTGGAAGCTGCTTCGTTTATGAAAGCCTCGCTTGCGGGTAAAACCATGGTTCCGTAGTGAATGAGGTAGCGGCGGAGATCCGAATCCAAAGGGTCCAGTAGCCCTTCCCAGTTATCACTCCCACTTAGAACCTTCCATCTTTCAGCAATGCCTGTGTCACTCATCTCCCTTCAATTCTCTACTCTTTTTTTGTTTAGATGTTGTGGTGGTGAAGCTACGTGCATATTCCTTGGCTTTATATACATCTCTCAGCCATGCCATTCATCTCATCCGTCCACCAAAACACATATATCATTGAAAACGTGAGATTCCAAAGAAAATAAAAAATCAAACGAAAGCGCTCGCGCTCCTCGTGGCCGGCTGGCGATCGAATTTTACTATTCATTAATTAGACGACATTTTTATGAAAATTGTTGCATAAAGCCTGGCAAATTAAAATTATTATTATTATTATTATTATTATTATTATTATTATTATTAACTATTGAGAATATTTGTTAAGAGTTAATTCTGACGGAGTTACTTTGTTGCAATTTCAAATTTAATCATAGACTATCATTTTTGTTATTTAACACTTTAAACTGACGGAGTTACTTTGTTGCAATTTCAAATTTAATCATAGACTATCATTTTTGTTATTTAACACTTTAAACTATAATATTTTACACACTTTTGGTCTTTTCAATGACTTTTCTGGTGAAATTCTATTTTAATTAATGATATTTTCGTCCTTTCAAATTTTATTATTATTATTTTCCCAACAAGTTAATTGGATGTCTCTTGTTTTTAGTGGCAATTTAAACCATATTTTAGGCAATAATGATATTTGATGGTTTTATTGAGACTGGGTCCACCATAAACTGGGTATAGAGGTATAGAATGGGGGTAGGAAAATAGTGACTTTATTACCCGAGGCGCTAGGCCCAAAATAGTACGTACAAAACCCGAGGTACAGGCCACTTGTTAAGAATCGAACCCAGGTGACTGGGTGAGAGCATAGACTAGACCACTAGACCAAGGTGCCTATTATGTCTCTGTTACCGCTTGTTAAGAATCCAGGGCCCATATTTATAGCATGCCCCCTCTCCTCTCCTGACATCCATGTGTCCCAGGTACTTACTCTCGCTCACCACTTCCCGTATCCATCGTCACACCCGGGCACGTTCACCGTGGCGCCATAGCATACCATTCGCACCACGCGACCCCGGCCTCGCACCCCTTTGGGAAAGGGGGGCGCCGTTGGCATGCCCGGGGGCGCAACACCACCGCTGGCCGCGACGTGGGCTGAGGTGGCCGGTGGGACCCGCCGCCGGCTAGCGGTCAAGGCTGGCCACCTAAGAATCTTGGAATAAATACATGGTCGCGTGCCTTAGTATATAAATGTTGGCATGGGCTAGTGGGTTGAGGTGCGCTAGGCATGCCACGAGGCTTGGGTTCGATCCTTGCTCCCTTTCACTGGTTGTGCCTCCCCTTCATTAGCCATGATGGGTCGCTGGCGGTTTTTTTACGAAAACCTTTTCTCTCCCTCCCTTTGGGCCTTTTTGGGTCACCATGCCCCTTGTCTTCTTACACCAATAAGACTTGAATTGGGTCAACCTCCTTCCCTCACCACCCCCACTTGGATCAATACTTTGCCAATAAAATGGACCCCCGGGGTCCCATATCCCTATGTATATTTTTATCTCTTCAAATTTTTTTTCTATTTTTCTGCGATGAGTTTTTTTTTCCTGATTTTTTGTCTTTTCAGCTGTGGGTTGCACTATCTCCTTCACCCGGCACATCTTCAACTCTTTCAACCAGACCCCAAATCATCCTTCGTCAATGGTGATGCCAAGTACATGAGGACCTCCAGGTGTGGGAGAATCATTTTGCAATGCAATTAGAAAGTTCAAGATGTCGCCACCCTGTTGGCTTTAGTTTGACTATCATTGTTTTAGTCCATGATTATGTAAATCATCTACTATATGTATAGAGTCAAAAAAACAAAAACAAAAAAAAAAAAAAAAAAAAACAAACAAAAAAAAACTCTTCTTTGTAAAGGGAAAATACAATTCCCTAAAATTGGGTTTCTCCGGAAAAAGTCATCGGAAGGACTAAAAATTTCCAAAATATGATAGCTTAGGGTGTTAAATGACAAAAACAATTATCTAGAACTAAATTTGGAATTATCACCAAAGACAAAGGACCTCCACTAGAATTAACTAATTAAAAAAATTATTCAAAAAATTTGAAGAGATGAAAATAACCTTGCATAAAATAGAGTTTTACCAAAAAAGTCATTGAAAGGATCAAAAGTGTCCACAATATGATAACCTGAAATGTTAAATGGTAAAAACGATAATCTGAGATGTCACCAAAGACAATGTTATGCCTCTTGCTAGAATTAACTCTATTTGGGGTAAGAATTAACTCTATTTGTTAAGTATTTTATTTCAACTATTTTGTTATTAGAAATTCTTTCATTTTTTAAAATTATAACTAATGTATTAATAGAAGTTATAAAATATTTGTAAGTGTGTATTCAATGTCTCACTGTATTATGGATAAAAATAGTGAAGTTGAGAATGTCGCTGTTGAGGAAGAACTAGAAGAATAATTTTATGATATATTATAATATATTTTGTAAAAAAAATAAAAAAATATATAAATAATAAGAATCAAAGTCATTAAAACATTGTAACGATGTATTTAAATTCAAATTTTAATTACTTTTGTAGACTTTTTAAAATTAAAAAGTTCATGAAAGCCTATAAATATTTTTTATATAAACTTTTATAAACTTTTACAAAGGTTACAAGTTTTCAAAGAACGACTCTATGAAAGTCATCAAAAGTTTTTTTTTTTTTTTTAAATTATCATTTCAAAAGTGTTTAAAACTGTACAAACGTAATCATTGAATACATTCCCTAACAGTATGCTTACACCTATAAATTTAAGAAAAAAATATAATTAATAATAATAATAATAATAATAATAATAATAATAATAATAATAATAATAAGGGAAAATGACACTTTTTCCCCTGTGTTGTTTACTAATAGCACATTTTTCCCATGTATTGTTTATGTAACCGACCACTTTATCCCCCTCAATTGTTTATGAAGTGGTTATTTCCCCCCCTCTCCGTTAAATAAGTGTTAGGGCCGTTAAATATGAGGGTAAAAATGACATTTCACTTATTATTATTATTATTATTATTATTATTATTATTATTATTATTATTATTTAATATAGATGGACAACTCCACCCAACGCCCTAATATACTCTAGTACTCCACGCCCTAATTACAGAGTTTCCCTTAGTCCTCCACACTCTAATTACAGAGTTTCCCTTGTCCTTATTGATGTTGTAAAATGCACAGTTATACTGCAAACCAAAGTCATTACTAAATACACATAAATTCACTTGCTTTCCTTCTTTCATTATAAAATGCAAAATGCAACCATTTTCTAAAAATTACATGACATTTTGCACCTAACCTCCAAATCACATTATTGTCTATCATAAAAAAAGAATAAATAAATAAATAAAAACAAAATATGATTTAAGGACATCATTGATTTTTGCACTTCTAATTGAAGTCAGAATATATAAAAAAGAAGTGCTGACCAAAAAATAATAATAATAAATAAATAAATAATTGACCAAAAATCCAAAATGCATTAAAAAGTTGTATCCAAAATACATTCATTAGATATCCAAAATGCATTATGTTTGTTATTAATTTATTTAGCCTTTCTCTCTGGTGGAGTATTTCTTTGTTACTTGATTACGAATGTAAACGCAATTATTTACAATAATCCTTTATTTATTACTAGAGATCATGTTGATAAGTTCATTGAAGAAGCCCCACCCACCCACCCCCAAAAAAAATCACTTGGTAAGTGTAACTTGAATTCCGTTATTCCACAAATAATACTAAGAAAATACTTTGTTCGGGGTGTGGGGGGCCGCCCTTAAGGTTGGGGTTCAACCTTTTGAAAAGAAGAGAATACTTTGTTTAAATTTTAAACTCTAAGGCTAGCCTTATCCTAACAAAGATTCCCTTGACAAGGTGATGTGGAATAGACTAATAACAATTATATATATATTTTTAATTGCTTAGTTGGATTGCAAATATGCAATCCGTACAAAAGCTACCGTAGCATTTGCACTTTTTAAAAAAAAAAAAAAAAATGTTTCTATTTTATTTTATTTTATATATTAGCTTTGGTTGTTTAGGTTGTGCTTTTTTTTTTTTTTTTTTTTTTTTTTTTAATGTCTTCAAATTTGTACTTGGGTTAATTTTATTGATTCCAATTACTTCTAATTTGTAAGGTTCATTTGAGGTTAAGTTTTACAGTTCAAATTACTAATACAAATTATTTTATATAAAAAAAATTGTAGTATAATTTGCATTCGATTATATACATAATATATACGAATAATTTTGAAAATAATTTTTTAAATATTACGTTTTTAGATTTTCAGTATTGTTATTTTTAATATTTACAAATAATTTATATAAAAAAATTATGTTTTGAATTTTCATTTTTGTTATTTTTAATATTTAGATGTAATTTATATATTGATATAAATTAATAATGTTGAAAAGAAAATAATTTAAAGTATGATTTATGTATCAATAGTACAAAAAAAAATCAAAAAATGTAGAAATCTACGTCCAAAGTTTAAACATCGGACGCTCAAAGTGGAGGGTAGTGGCATGTCTAACCTATTTGTGTGAAAAAAATCAGGAAGACAATATTTTGGCAGGCATACATCTATTTTTTTGAAAGCGCAGACATACATCTTAAATCCACTCTCATCTACCAAATCTCTCTTACAACAATGGCGGATCAGGACCCAAATGGGATGCTTTATTACGACTTCTGGAGCATCCAATCTCCCCCTCCTCCATCTCCATGGATGATCATCACTCATGTTTCTGTAGCTTCTCCAACGGCGGCAGCTGCGCTACTCGGCGACGGCGTTCATCCGCATTTTGCTGACGCACAACCTCCTCGACGACTATATTCTTGCCGCCATTGCCCCCTCAAGCTCTCCACGTACTCCCTCAGCTCTGGGCGGTCACCAGACAGCCAGCGAAAGAGCCGCCGCTGCTTGTTTTGTAAAAAAGACTCAATGGATTGGTGAATGATTTTATATCTAAATATGTTCAAAGAAGAAGAATGTCACTTTTCAAGTGAAAATTT